AAGGGATACGAATTAGGTTTTCATGTTTTATTTTGCTTAGTTTACACATTTTATTCTTTACATATTGGTAATATGTGCACTGCCTATTTTTATTTTGTGATTTGAAGATCTTTTGTTAAAGTATAACAATTTTTTTTTTAGTTTTGGGTAGAGTGGTAAGAGGTTAGAACCCCTGTTAGGTTTTTATTGTTGTCTGTCTCCCTGCTAGGAAGATCTATTGTCACTGCACTGAGAGTAAGGGAAAATCCTGAAATTTTGACTTGCCACAAGAACAGGAATAGAGGAGAAATAACTCAGTGTGGACTCTTGTTCTGGAGACAGCTGTCCAAGAGAAGATTTACCCCACTTTGGAGAGACTTCTTCACTTCCTGTTGAGTTTACAAGACAGAAAGTGAAGGTAAATCCCTTGAACGGCACAAAGATGGAAAAAAACCTTTAACCTTTCCTACTGTATACCTATACACAATACTACAGTTACAAAGTAGTGCAGTGTGTTACTATATATATATATTTATGAGTTATTCTTCATAACTGTCCTTTGCAACATATATTCCTGTTGTCCCCCCTCACCTCCCAACCTACACTTCCATACCTGCTTACACAAGGGCATTTTTAGTTAAAAAAAAAAATCATAAGACACAAATATTTTTGTGGTGGTGTTTGCTTTTTAATTTGAACCTGAAACTTGTACTATATATATATATATAAGAAATCACAAATACCTGAAGCAGTCAGTATGCCAGTCTGACTCCAAGGCCTGCAGATAGCGTCCATCGAATATACTCTGTCTGCAGCTGGCACATACCGGCAACTCATTACCTGCAGCAACAGACACATAAAGACAACATAAATGAAGTGTCCAGAGCATGAAATGTTCTTTAAGGAGACAACATACACCCATAGAATACCGTCATTCAGTTCTGTGAGATCTATGTGCATGTTACTTTCAAGTTCACAAACAGAGTCGAGCAAACAATCTACAACTTAGCACAGGCTGAGTGAATCAAGAAAACTTGATGACATAACACATTATTTTGCAATTATCATGCTTAAATATTTTCAGTCAAACCCCCCCCCCCCCCCCCCCCCCATCTTGACTTGCTCTTCCTGCCACAGTGTGTCGGCATCAGGAAGTGACAGGAGTGGGCTCAAGGAAGCTTGACTGTGCTGCTTTCTCTTCTCCCCCCCACCCCCCTCAGTTCTCTATGTTCCTGCCCGAGGACCAGGGCATAGAGCTGGACAATATGTGTTTGCAGTGAGCTGCACGTGATACTGGCTTGCTGCCCAATCTGCTTCCCCCCCCCCCCCCCCCCCTGGCAGTAGCAAGGGACCAATTAGGAGGACAGGAGCTTCAAGGGAAATGTAGTCCCAGATGAGAGGTGGCCCCATTGGAACTGACAGGGGGTAAACTACAGCACCCAGCATGGCTGCTGAGAGAGGAAGAAGAGAGCCAGGAGCTCAGGAAAAAAGGTGAGGGGCTGTGTAGAATGTTATCCAGGTTACTGGAGAGAGGACTATGCTGGGGGACGCCATCAGAGGGAGAGAGAGCCCCACTGCCCAGCACCATCCCAGAGAGAGCGAGGGACCAAGCCACTGAAACACCCCTCACCATGCCAGTCCATGTAGAGCTATGGCATATGGGCAGGGAGAGAGACTGAGCCGCTGCCAGGGTACAGACTTGCTGCATTACAGACCGGAGTCAAGCAGACAACCCAGAGTGAAGGAACATCTGCTGCGGTATCGCTGGGTCTGGTAAGAGGGTCTGCCATTACCTACTACCATCCCTGTAGACTGAGCCATTAGGAACCACCCAATCAGCTATTCCATAGCTCTAATACTGCCTGTAAGCATTATTGAGAGTCTGAAAGCGCGCCAACCGTTAAAGAGCATCGACGGTTTAGCCAGTTGAAGAGTCAGGACTAAATACTGCTCCTAACTGTTGCTGCCCCAATGCTGCATCCACCTAGGTAAGGTAAGAAAACCCCCCAAAACACAGACTTTTCTTTTAGAAGTACCTCTTAGGGAGACGTTGCAGTACACCCCGGCCAATCCATCAGAGTACACTCAAAACCAGTGTAGAGTTATTATCGTTCTTACGGCTTTTAAAATTAATTTACATTTATCTTAATGTCCCAGATCATCTCTATGGTCTAAGAAACCCAAAGCGACAAGTGTTTAGTCACTTATGGTTTCGCCAGGATGTAAACAAAGCATTATTTGGCTTGGGAAAAGCATTGGATCAAACCGATCTTGGTTTGATCTTACGCTTTTAGGGAGAATAGGCTAATAGACAGCAGATCTCTCAGTAAAGAGTACCTGTCACTGCCCATGCTATGCTTTTAAAAAAAAAAAAATTAAAGAGACAGTGTAAAAATGAAAAATAAAACTCATAAGCAATAAGAATAAACATTTTTTTAAAAGCACCCCCGTCCCCGCACACAAAGGCGAATGAACATGTCCTACGTGCTTACGTAAACATCGATCGCGCTATAGTTTTTTGCCCAAAAAAATTTGTGTTTGAAAAACCGCTGCAACATACGCATGGAAAAGGTGTTAATGGATAAAGTGTTTGTTCACCAATGCCAGAAGGACAGGGTAAAAAGGAAAGGTGGTGGTGTCTGTCACTATGCGAGAAGTGATCTCAAAGCGAGTGTGAAAGAGGACCTAGTTGATGGAGAGTGTGATGAGGCTGAAGCATTATGGGTGGAACTGCACATGGGGTGCGTACTACAAATGAGAGTTCTTCAAAAAGACTGTATGTGAACACACTGCAAAATATATTCCCATGGGCAACAAGTTGAAAAGGCCAAAAATGAAATCTATGTGGCTTACAGCCAAAGTTAAAAAAGCTATAAATAATAACAAAAGAGCTTTTATAAAATCTAAAAATTAAGAAACGCTATCATCCTTTAAACATTACAAAGAATATAACAGAATATGTAAAAAGGAAATCAAGGCCGCAAAAATTGAAAACGAACGACAGATTGCAAAAGATAGCAGGACAACCCCCCCCCCCAAAAAATTCTTCAAATATATTAATAGTAAAATAGGTCAAGTCCGAGCATATAGGCCCTTACAAAATATTCTAGAGTGGGTGAGTGGGGGACAAAGAGAAGGCAAATTTATTAAATACCTTCTTCAGCTCTGTGTATACAAAGGAGCATGGGGGAGCTCTTGTCCAGAATGGGCATGGTATTGACACAGCTCCAGTTGATCCACACTGGCTCACAATTGATATGATCCAGAAATATTTAGACAGAATAAAGGTAAATAAAGCACCTGGACTGGATGGCATACACCCACGGGTCCTTAAAGAATTGAGCTCTGTCATTTCAAAGCCATTGTTTCTCATTTTTAGGGACTCTTTAACGATTGGCATAGTACCACTGGATTGGAGTAAGGCCAACGTGGTGCCAATATTTAAAAAAGGATCAAAATCTTTAGCAAGTAATTATAGACCTGTTAGTTTAACTTCTATAGTTGAGAAGATACTGGAGAGTTTAATAAAAGACTACATGGATAAGCTCTTGCTAGAAAAAAATATTTTAAGCTACAGACAGCATGGATTCATGAAAGACAGACGTTGTCAAACAAATCTGATTTCTTTTTATGAGGAGGTGAACAAAACCTTGGACAGAGGGGTGACTGTGGATGTGGTATACTTGGGTTTTGCAGAAGAGTTTGACACAGTTCCCCACACACGGCTAATGTGTAAGGTAACGTCTACAGGCTTGGAAAAATCTGTATGTAAATGGATAGAAAACTGGCTAAAAGATTATATTCAGAGAGTAGCGGCTATTGATTCATGCACTGAATGGTCTAGGGCTGTTAGTTGTGTACCCAAGGTTCAGTGTTGGGACCCTTACTTTTTAATATGTTTATAAATGATATAGGGTCTTCGATTAAAAATACAGTTTCAGTCTTTGACTTGCAAGCTGACCTCAATGCACTGTTTAATTGGGCAGCTATGTGGAATATGAGGTTTAATGTTGATAAATGTAAAGTTATACATTTGGGAGCTAAGAATATGCATGCATCATACATACTAGGGGGAGTACAACTGGGGGAATCAATGGTGGAGAAGGATCTGGGGGTTCTGGTAGATCACAAGCTTAATAATGGCATGCAATGCCAAGCTGCGGTTTCTAAAGCGAGCAAAATCCTCTCTTGTATTAAAAGAGGTATAGACTCCAGAGAGAGAGATATCCCCCTGTACAAATCATTAGTAAGACCTCATCTGGAATATACAGTTTTGGGCACCAATTCACAAAAAGAACATTGGGGAACTGAAGAAAGTGCAGAGAAGGGCAATCAAACTGATAAGAGGCATGGAGGAGATCAGCTATGAGGAAAGATTAAAGGAATTGAAATTATTCTCTCTTGAGAAGAGGAGATCAAGGGGGGATATGATCAACATGTATAAATACATCAGTGGTTCGTATAGTGAACTCGGTGTAAAGTTATTCACCCTGAGGTCATCACAAAGGACAAGGGGCACTCTTTACGTCTGGAGGAAAAGAGGATTCATGTCCAAATACAGAAAGGTTTCTTCACAGTAAGAGCTGTGAAAATGTGGAATAGACTCCCTCAAGTGTTGGTTCTGGCCAGCTCAGTAGATTGCTTTAAAAAGGCCTGGATTCTTTCCTAGATAAACAAAATATAACTGGTTACTAACACAGGGATGTTGAACATGTAGTTCCGGGCATTGGGTAGGTAGCTTTAGCTTTATTCAACCTGTAGCCCCCTGCTGCGGGCAAGCAGCAGGGCTCACCTGTCAGGTGGAAGCATTTGGGCGGCAGCACTGCAGCCCGATTGCTTCCACCTAGCCCACGGTGCCAGCCTCCACCCCTATAAGAGGCTTTGACCACTTGCCAACCGCGCTATAGCCGAATGACGGCTACAGCGCGGTTGTCCAGTTCTGGGAGGGCATCATATGATGTCCTCCCAGAATGTGCCCTCCCGCGCGCCCCCGGGGGCGCACACCATGCGATCTCCGTGATCGCTGTCTCCTATGGACACAGCTGATTACAGGATGTGGTAAAAGGCCAATCACAGCAGCCTTTTACCATGTGATCAGCCGTGTCCAATGACACAGCAGATCACCGGTGAATGCAGTTGCAGGTTATCGGCTGTCACAGTGTGAGGAAAGTTCTGCCAATAACCAGCAATTGTCAGAGGATGGATCGGCACCGATCATCAGGGCACTGATGATCAGTGCCCAGCAGTGCCACCACCAGTGCCCAGCAGTGACACCCACCTGTTCCCAAGTGACACCCACCTGTTCCCATCAGTGCCACCCACCTGTGCCCATCAGTGCCATTCACCTGTGCCCAGCAGTGCCACCCACCAGTGCCAACCATAAGTGCTGCCTAGCAGTGCCACCCATCAGTGCCCAGCAGTGCCGTTAGTCAGTGTCACCCATCAGTTCTGCCCATCAGTGTTGCAGATCAGTGCAGCATCATCAGTGCCGCCTCATCAGTGCCGCCTATCAGTGCCCATCAGTGTTGCCTATCAGTGCAGCCTCAACGCACATCAGTGAAGGAGAAAAATTACCAGTTTTGCAAAATTTTATAATAGAAACAAAGAAAACCTTTTCAAATTTTTTGCTTTTTTGTTTATAGCACAAAAAATAAAACACCCAGCGGTGATTAAACACCACCAGAAGAAAGCTCTATTTGTGTGAAAAAAAGATAAAAATTTCATATGGGTACAGTGTTGCATGACCGCACAATTATCATGAAAATTGGCCTGGGTATGAAGAGGGTATAAGTGCCCAGTAGGCAAGTGGTTAGAAGGGTCGCCTATAAAAAAAATATAGGGTACTGAAGTTTGTCACCATTTCATGAGCGCACGCAAATTTAAGGTTTGACATGTTGGATATCTATTTACTCAGTGAAACCTCATTTTTTTTATATTTTACCAAAAATAGGGTAATTAATTGCTTTTTTGTGTATTTTGTGTATTTTTTACTGAAATTTACAGTAATATCATGTGACATAAAAAATTGTAACTGCAACTATTTTATTCTCTAGGGTCTCTACTTTCAGGAAAGATATCATGTTTGCAGGTTTTGTGTCATCTTCAGGCCTAAAATGATTTTTTTGAAACTTGTGCAAAAAACACAAAACCGGCTCTGGCAGCGAAAGGAATAAAGGATAAGCTCGATACTCCCCTTTCCTAAGGAGCAGCCAATCGGTGCCCATTGCACTGCAAGGTTTCTCCCCCTCCCTGCTAATCCCTGGGTGCGGTGCTGGAGACAGGCAGGGAAGGGAGGAGAAGATAAACAACACAATGGTGATTAATCAAGATGGCGACGGAGCAACATGTCATCACCGAGCTCCGTCGCTGCACTGCCTAATCCGCTGCCATCCGGGTGGCAGCAGACACTACTGGGGCCCCGGAACACTTGCGGCCCCTGGTGAAGCATCCAGGAGGGGTGCTGATCAATTTTGGGCCCCCTCCAAAATCGCGGCCTACTGCGGCCCACGAAGCCGCAGCCTCGATTAATTTGCGGGCCGACTCGCGGCACTGCCCGCCGCTCCGACACGCAGCGGGGTGGTCCTCCCCAGACAGCCCCTGGCCCTCTCCACTGTTTCCAGGGGCCACAGCAAGCAGACACAAGGCTCCAAGGACCTAACAAGGACCACCTCACAAAGATCAGCCTCGCAAGGACCAGCAAGCAGACAGCAACCTAAGAAGGACCGCAGCCTAACCAGGACCACCTCAGGATACCCGCACGGCAGCACCACCGTCTGCGCGGCCACCACCACCAGAACGGGCCACGACAAACCAGAACGCCTCCGCTCCAGCCCGAGGGGACAAGGGGATGCTATTACCACCTCCACCCGTGAGGAGAAGCCACCAGCACGGACAGGGTAAGCCACCACCACCAGAACGGCACCCCTGCTCCCCACCGTGTGCTGCACAGCCGCCCCCCGTGCCCACATGAGCCTGCCACGCGGCCTACAACACCCACAGACACCTGGCCCTACAACACCTACAGGCGCCAGACCCTGCCGCTTCCACAGACGCCGAGCCCTACAGCACCCAAATGCGCTGGCCCACAGCGATCCCAAGCGCCGGTGAGAGAGGGCGAAGCAGCCATCACCCCCGGGACGCCAGTGCACCGCTGCTCTTCTCCAGTGTGAGGGGCAAGCAGCCATCACCCCCACCGAAGCTGCCACCACCAACACAGGGGATGCCACCAGCACCTAGTGGGATCCACAGCAGCGCACCAGGCTCCAAGGACCACCACAGGCAGCCCACACGCCAGCACCACCACCTTGGGACCTCCACCTGGACCCTAAACCCTGCCAAGCAAGTCTCTGCAAGAGCACACGCAAGTTACAGCCACACAACACTCCTGATCCGATCACCCAGACACCCCACACGCCGACCCCAACCCAGCTCGACCCAAAGGACAAGTAACAGTCTCACAACGCTCCAGATCTGCCCACCCAGAGACCACTCACACCAAACCCCAGCTCAAACTGACCTAAAGACTAGAACCCTAGACGTAAAAAATCACAACGAGACACCGCACTGCACGCCAGTCTGTCTCCAATCAAGCGCCCCCAGAAACCATCCATCCACACCCGATCCCCTCTCCCTACTCCCCCTAAACTCCAGCTACCAGAAGATACAGCGACGAGATACGCCACTGCACGCTGGACTATAGACAGCCAAGCCTCCCACCACTCCTATCCGCCACCCCCGAGCACCTCCCTAAAATGCCTCTCCCACTCCTCCTCATTTTCCTCTCCTCTGTTCAAAATCTACTCTATCCCTCTGCTCCTCCCAAACAACTGTATATTGTGTCCTCACTGCTTCCTTTGCCGCTCTACGGCACCCACCACCTCCTCCTAATACTCCACTCTCCCACTGACCCGGACACCTCCACTGGTAGATTTGCACGCTCCTGCACATCCCGCTCCCATGCCACCTTTCTCACCGTTCTTCTCCTCCTAACCGCGGGGGACATCTCCCCGAACCCTGGCCCTCCACCACCTCGCTCACCCACACAGCACCCTCCCACTTCCACGTCCTGCCGCAACCCCCCCCCCAACTTAGTATCTGTCCCCCCCTGCTCCCTAAAACCACCCCCTCCCCCCCGTTTTCGTGTGCACTCCTGAACTCCCGATCGGTGTGCAACAAGCTCACCGACATCCACGTCCTCTTTGTTTCCCGCTCCCTCAACCTCCTAGCGATCAAGGAAACCTGGATCCAGGCCACTGATTCTACCTCCCCTGCAGCACTCTCCTATGGAGGTCTCACCTGGACCCACTCACCCAGACCCAACGGTCGTAAAGGTGGTGGGGTTGGTCTGCTCCTGTCACCACAGAGCACCTTCCGAGTCCTCCCTAACCCCCCTTCCCTATCCATCTCCCTCCTTTGAAGACCATAGCATCCAACTATTCTCCCCAACCCCCCTTAAGATTGCCGTAATCTACTGGCCTCCTGGACCCGTATCCCGCTTCCTTGATGACTTTTCCTCCTGGTTACCCTTCTTTCTCTCCTCCAAACTACCCATCATCATCCTTGGGGACTTCAACATCCCTGTCAACATTGACAACCCGGCCTCATCCCAACTCCTCCACTTAACATCCTCCTTTGCACTTGCACAGTGCATACAATCCACCACCCATTCCGACGGAAATATCCTGGACCTTTATCTTCTCCCACCGCTGCCGCTCCCCCACAACCTCACAAACACCCCCCTTCCCTCTCTCCGATCCCACAACCTTATTACCTTCTCTATCTCCTCGTCCTCTACTGCCTACCCCCTCCAAATGTCATACTACTACCAGCCATAACCTCTGCAACCTGAACCCTGCCCCCCCCACCCCCCCACTCTGCAGCTGATCAACTCCATGACAGCATCCTCCCCCTGTCCTTCCCCCCCCCTGGCTATGACTGCCTATAACAACGCGCTGTCAACAGCCCGTGACTCACCCCCCCCCCACCCCTCTAACCACATGAAACATCAACCCCCCGACTGCTCCAACCCCCTGGCAGACTGATCACACCAATACTCTCAAACGACACAGTCGTGCCCTGGAGCGACTATGGCGCAAAACCAGATCCCAACCAGCCTTCACCCGCTATAAATCTTCCTTCCTCACCCTACACCTACACCCTCCCACGCCGCCAAACAAACCTACTTCCTGACCCTCATCAAGACCCTCTCCTCCAATCCTCGCCAACTCTTCTCCACATTTAACTCTCTACCGCTCTCCGCCCCCCCCCTCCCCCCCAGCACCCCCCCCACCCACTTACCACCATTGAGATTGACAATCACTTCAAAAACAAGATTGACACAATTCGCAAGGACATCACCGCAGCTCACTCTCCCTCCAGTTCCGTCCCCTCTCACACAACTACAATCTCATCAACCCTCTCCCTCGACACAATCCACAGAGACTTTGTCGCTGCTCAAACTCCCTCCAACCCCGTCCCCTCTCCCACACAGCTACCCACTCATCACCCCTCTTCCACAGCCCCACCACTGCTCTGACCTGCACCCCATCCAACAATCCTCACACTGGAGCCCCCTCAACACTCCACACCTTCGACCTTACTACCACTGAGGAGGTCTCCAAGGTCTTCTCTGATGCCCGCCTCACCACCTGCCCCCTCGATCCCATCCCCTCACAATTGCTACGACCTCCTTGCCCCCTCCATCCTACGCTCCCTCATCCACATCTTTAATCTCTCCCTCTCTTCCGGCACATTCCCATCCCCCCCCTGAAGCATGCACACATCACCCCCATACTTAAAAAGCCCTCTCTGGACCCCAATGACCCGAACAACCTCAGACCCATCTCCCTGCTCCCATTCACATCCAAACTCCTTGAGCACTTAGTCTACACTAGCCTAAGCTCTCACCTCAACGACAACAACCTCTTTGATCCCCTAGAGTCCGGCTTCCATCCCCCTACATTCCACCGAAACCGCCCTACTCAAACTCTCCAACGACCTTCTAACCGCCAAAGCTAATGGCCACTACTCAGTGCTCCTACTCCTTGACCTCTCCGCAGCCTTCGACACAGTCGACCACCCCTTCTCCTCAAAAAACTACACTCCCTTGGCCTTCGTGACTCTGCTCTCCTGGCTCTCATCCTACCTGTCACAACGCTCTTTCAGCGTTACCTATAACGCTACCACCTCCCCCTCACTCCCCCCTCTCTGTTGGGGTCCCTCAAGGCTCCGTCCTCGGGCCCCTTCTCTTCTCCATCTACACCTCCTCCCTTGGCCAACTCATACACTCTCATGGCTTCAACTATCACCTCTATGCCGACGACACACAAATCTATCTCTCAACCCCTCGCCTCA